AAGTAACTAGCCCCACTGCCCACTCCTGGCTCCTCCCAGGCTGCTCCCGTCCCCACCCAGGGACACAAGCCCCTGCCGGCTGCTCAGACAGCCCTTTGTCCCTGGCCGGCTGGTCTGCAGCCCATTGTTGGCCCTGTGAAGACGGCCTCTGTCCATCCAGCCCAGCCGCAGGCCCACAGGCAGGCAGGCGTGCCTGGGACCCAGGCTGAGACGGGAGGGCAGAGTCCACGGACTTTCAGACCCTGGGGGAGGAGTGCTGGCAGGCAGCACCACCTCGGTGCCAGCCTGGCACCACCAGCCTCCCAGCCACAAACCTGAGCCTCCAGACAACTCCCTTTCCCACCCCCACATTTTATCCTGGCTGCCGGCTCAACCCTGTTTTCAGGGCCTGCCCTGGTGTAGACCTCCAAATCTCTAATCCACTCCCTGCCTCTGGGTTCACCCTCCCAGCAGGCCTCCCTGCCAAGCCCTGCCAGCTCTCCTACCTCCTCACTCCCCCCTCCCCAGCTGCCCCTGTGAGGTTAAGGCCTGGGTCAGCACATGGTGACCTCAGCCTGCCCGGCTCACCATGAGGATGTCCGCAGTGATGGCCCAGTTAGAAAATAGCAGTGTCTCCCCAACGAAGATACAGATCTAGCCAGGAGAGAGAGAGAGAGAGAGAACAATCATCAGGCGAGCCCTCCACCCACTGGCAGCCCCTTCACACTGGCTCCTATCATGGGGCCCCAAAGCCTCCATCCCTCCCAGGGGACCCCCCCCCTCCTGATGGTCAGGCTCTTGAGGAATGGGTCAAGCCATGCCCACAGCACTGAAGGACACCCAGAGGCCCTGAACTGAGCAAAGGCAGGCAGGCGGCCAGAGGACAGGAGCCTCCCCGTGGGGACAGAGGGTTCAATGAGTCAAACTGCACTTCCAAGCCCCCGAGCCTCCTGCCCCCCCTACACTCACATAGGCGCCCACAATGCTGCTCTTGGCAGCCACGAAGATCAGGCAGATGAAGATGGCGGAGCCCAGCATTCCCACAGCACACACCAGTGGGTCGGCCCGCTGGGTCCTCAGGCGGCACCAACGTGTAGCTCCTGCACCCGTGACCACGCCCAGGAAGCCCGTAAAGCAGGTGATGGCCCCGAAGATGAGGCTATGAGATCACAAGACAGTGTAGGGCATGAATGGAGTGGGGTGTGAGTGGAGGGGGACACGGCTGGGGCAGAGGTGCCCTCTCATCCAGTGTTCCTCACCACCCAGGGCCCGGCTGAGCAAGGCCTACCTGTCCTTGGCCCCGCAGGGCGGGCTGCTACAAGGCTCTGCTGTCTTCTGCACAACTTGGGCACGGTGCAGATAGAGTGGGATCCACATGCCCAGGGCCCCTGTGGCGAAGGACACGGCCGACGTGGCCAGGGAGGAGAAGACGTAGCTGCGGCTGGGGAAAGGCCAGGGCAATGACACTGAGCTGAGGCCAGAAGTCCCAGCAGCCGGAGTAAGCAGCCCCATGCATGGTGGCCCAGGAGGCTGCCTCTTCTCCCCCCCCACACCCAGGTAAAAG